CATCATCATTAATATATAAATATACGACAAAATATAATTATTATTATTATTATCGCGAATTAAATAAAAATAATTAATATATAATTAAGATGATTATAATTAATTTATTTATTTATTATTATAAAAAAATAAAAGTTTACGAAAACTTTAAAACGTAACGCAAAAAAATTACTCGTGAAATAATAATAATAATAATAATAATAATAATAATTATTAATGGTGATGATGATAATAATAATAATACTAAAATTATTTATTAATAAAAAAGAAAAAAAATTTCAATTCATTTATTTTATTATTTTTATTCGATAAGATTTGTCGGTACCATTGTCAAAATAATTTCAATTAAAAAAAAAAAAAACAATTTAAATTTTATTTATGTATATAATAATAATAATAATGATTATGATGATGAGAATGATGATTACAACTATGTACAAATAAATAGAAATTAATAAATGATTAATAATAAATGAAATACATAAGAAGAAGAAAAAGAAGAAGGAATTACTATTAATTATCAATTTATATTTATTTAATTAGGAAATTAATAGTTAGGCAACTTTCATTACATTTATGTATTGTAATTAATATATTAAAATAATTACAATTTAAAATAAATACATTTACCCCGTATGGAAATTTCGTTGCGAAACTTATATATATGAGAAAAACTTTTTGCAGGAATTGCGACAAATAGAAAAAAAATATGTCGGAATAATAAAAAAATAAAAATTTTATATTCGCCATAAATAAATAAATAAATAAATATTTACAAATTGTTAAGAATGTAAAATAAAAATAAAAATAAAAAAAAATGACGAGGATATGTCGGTGCGATTAAAATGAAAAAAATTATATTTAATGATATAAACGAGAGAAAGAAAGAGAAAAAGAGAGAGAGAGAGAGAAAGAAAGAGAGAGAGAGAGAGAGAGAAAGAAAGAGAGAGAGAGAAAGAAAGAGAGAGAGAGAAAGAGAGAGAAAGAAAGAGAGAGAGAGAAAGAGAGAGAGAGAGAAAGAAAGAGAGAGAGAGAAAGAGAGAGAAAGAAAGAGAGAGAGAGAAAGAAAGAGAGAGAGAGAGTGAGAGAGTGACGTACTTATAAATAATTAAAAAGGAAAAATTATTGTGATAAGAAAGAATGTGTTCGATTGCGTTCAAATTTCGAAATAAATAAGATAGACAATATAATAATAATAATAATAATAATTATAATTATAATGACAATAATAATAATAATAATAATAACAATAAGAATCACGTTAAAAAAAATTTCGATGGAAATCGTACATAACCACATGTAAAAAAAATAATTTTCTTTTTTTTGTTGCTGTTTGTTGTTGTTGTTGTTGTTTTCCCGACGGAAAATTTGAATTTTTTTTTGTTATTAATAATAATAATAATAATAATAAATTTATTAAAACCTGAATAATTTTAAAAATTATTATTATTATCGATCTGAAATTTTTTTTTTAATATTTTTTTTTCGATTAACTCACAAATTGAAAAAAGATTATTGATTTATCGATTTCCTATCGAATTATAAATAATAATAATAATAATAATAATAATAATAATAATAATAAAGAAAATGGACGATGTTTGAAAAGAAAAAAAAAAAAATTCAAGGGTAAAAGAGAGAGAGAGAGAGAGAGAGAGAGGGAGAATAAAAATTAAATAAATTTAATAGTTTTATTTATTTATTTGTATCAATAAGTAAATAATAACATTCGTCTTTTATTATTATTATTATTAAAAAGCACTCATTTTTTTTTCAGGTTTTTCTACAGTAAAGAAGTCAATTATCAATATAAAGCCAAAAAATGGATGAAAAAATAAAATTGAAAAATTTAGACGAAAGCAAAGATGAAGAGAGACAACCACTCAAGTAAGAAAGAAAATTTTTTTAAAATTAATTATTATTGGTCCATACAGCATCCTTTACCCATCTACTTTATCCCTTTTTAAAAATCATCACATCATTCGGCGGTTATATTCATGATCACACAAACTTTTTAACTGTCAAAATGTTCCGACGATGACTCTGAATAAAAAAAAAAAAAAAAAAAAAATTTTTTTTTTAAATTAAAAATGGAAAACGTGATGATCAACCTTGGTTCGCAAAAAAAAAAAAAAAAAACTTTTTACATAAAAGAAGACGATTATCAGGTACAAGGTTAATGACGATCATATGAAAACCTTTTTTTTTAAAAAAAAATTTTTTTTTTTTTATATATAAAATAATTCATAGAAAAATCGATTTTTCTCTCTCTCTCTCTTCTCCCCCCTTCTTCCCCCTTTCTCTCTACAACCTCCTCGACTTCCCGCCCCCCAACTCCCCAATTCGACGTCGTAAAAATTTTCCCAATTAAAAAAAATTCGAAACAGGTATTTTTTTAATCGATTTATTAATCGATTTATTAATCGATTTACTCAAGTTCGATGTATCGAAAAAAAAATTCCATTTGAATAAATAAATAAAAATAAAAAATTTAAATTATCATTATTATTATTATTATTATTTATTAATTTTTTTAAATATTAAAAATTTCAGGTTTTTAATTTATTTTTTTTTAAAAACCTGAATTTTGTTGACGTCGCGAATTTCTCCATTTTGTTTTTTTTTTTTTTTTTTTTTTAATTTTAAAACGCGTCGCACGAATCATTAACAATTATCATTATTATTATTATATCATCAAACGTCTCCATTTTTAAAATCCCCTCCTCCTCCTCCCCCTCCCTTCTCTTCCCTTCTCTCCTCCCCCCACGAAAAAAAAATCAATTTTTCAATTTAAACAAATCAATCGTTAAAAAAATAAAAAAAAAATTTCAAAAGAAAAGAAAGAGAGAGAGAGAGAGAGGGAAAAGAATATACGTACATGATAATGATAATAATAATAATAATAATAATAATAATAATAATAATAATAATAATAATAATAATAATAATAATAATAATAATGACAAAGAATCGTGTAAAGATAATAATAATTACGTAAAGGAAAAAAAAAAAAAAACAAACCCCCACCATTAATAATGACAAATGAATTTTTACATCGAATCAAGAATATCGAGTATTATTATTATTATTATTATCGATTTGGAGGGGGAGGCGGTAAGGCGGAGACATTTGGAAAAATAACAAAATCCTTGTTTCGAAGTTAACAAACAAACAAACAAACGGAAAAATTTTTTAATAAGAAAATTAATTTACGAAAAAAATTAAAAAAAAAAATTTCGAGTGGTCATTTAGTTCGAATTTAATTTTGTGCCTGTTTTTTTTCTCTCTCTCTAAAAGTGTGTTTGTGCGCGTGTCATTTTCAGTGCTATGGTCGCGGAAAATCTTAAAGAAATAATTATAAGGAAAATTCAAAAGGATGTCACGAAAAAAACGGACACGTCAAAAATTGGATGGTTTTCACCCATAACGAATCAGGTAAATTTATTATTATTATCATCATCATCATCTACTAATTAACGATTTTATTTAAAAATAATAATAATGATAATTCGGTGGTAGCGGAGTAGAGAGTAGGGGGAGGGGGGAGAGAAAACGCGCCGTTGGGGTGGTAATGGCATTGGATAATGGCGACGCCGCCGCCATTTTTAAAAAATTAATAAAATTTATTTATATGTTTAGTATATGGCAGCATCAGCAACGGTTCTTCTCAACACGAGCTGTGGCATGGCTGTCGGTCATTCTGCCGTTTTATTACCACAACTTATGTCGGAAGACTCTGAAATTCCAATAACAAAAAGCGAATCAACATGGATAGGTAAGCTTAACAATAATAATAATAATAATAATAATAATTATATAAGGAAACTACTACGTACGACCGTAACCCTGTCAATTTTACAATGTTATTATTATTATTATCTTTTTTTTTTTTACCGAGTCAAGGTTTAACGTTCGACAATGATGATGATTTAAGAAGAAGAAGTTTTTTTTAAATAACTTTAATTATTTTAATCAACGAAGCAGAAAGAAAATTTTTTTTTGTTTTGTTTTTGCAGCGAGCTTATTGGTTCTACCATTGATTGTCGGTTGTCTTTCAAGCGGGTATCTAATGGATTTTCTCGGGCGGAAACGATCACTTTTTTTATTATCAATACCATTTGCCATGGGTTGGATGATATTAGCAATTGCTCCTAATCTTTTAAGTAAGTCTAATTCAAAAAAAAAACAAAGACGATCGATACACCCCCCTCTACCCCCCCTACAGAAGGAAAATAAATTTCCCCCCCCCTCGTTTGTTTTGTTTTTAGCCCTATACGCGGCGAGATTACTAAAAGGTTATTGTCTCGGTGTTTCCATTCCATTAATTCAAATTTATTTGGCGGAAACTACGCAACCAGATCAGAGAGGAGTTTTCCTTTCCGCTTCCGCTTTATCCGTATCGATAGGAATATTATTATGTCACCTATTGGGAACATTTATATTTTGGAGAACGGCAAGTTGGATAAGTTCTCTACTACCCGTCCTATCCGTACTCATATGTTTATGCGTTAAAGATCTCCGACGTGGCTTTTACAAAAGGGTAAATTTAAAGAAGCGGAAGAATCGTATAAATGGTTTAGGGGTGACACGGAGGAAGCGATGAAAGGTTTCAACGATTTATTAAACCTTCAACAAATATCTAACGAAACAACGGAAAACGTATCGAAATTTAAATTGATGAAAAAGGAAAATTTTTACAAACCTTTTCTCATATTGAATTTTTTTTTCTTCATACAACAATTTAGCGGTGTCAACGCGGTGACGTTTTATAGCGTTAAAATATTAAAAAATATACTCACGACAATGGACGAATATTTTTCCACGATGATAATCGATGTCGTACGGTTGGCATCATCCATATTTTCCATTTTCCTACTTAAAAGATACGGTAGCCGGAAAATAAGTTTGATAAGCGTCATAGGTACTTCTTTAAGTTTATTCCTATTGGCTATTTGCCTCGGTTCTGCAGATACCGACATTATCGATGACGTCATCAACAACAGTACGGAATACCTAAATAGAACAAACGATATGACAACGGAATCGACATCACCGGAACCTGTCGGTATCACATCTTACATCCTACGTTACCTTCCACTTTTTTTCATGATATTATATATAACTCTCGTGACGATTGGTTTGGTACCTCTACCATGGGTACTCACAGGTGAAATATTTGGAAAAGAAATGCGAGGAATCGGAAGTGGCGTATCCACGAGTTTTGCCTTTTGCTGTTTCTTTTTAGTTATTAAATTGAGTCCGGATTTTTTCGATACTTTTCACGATTATGGTACTTTTGGATTTTTCGGAGTTATTACCGCCATTGGTAGTTTTGTTCTTTGGAAATATTTACCGGAAACAAAAGATAAAACGTTAGAGGAAATACAATTATTTTTCAGTAAGAAAAGTTAATCTCATCTTCTTCTTCTTCTTCTTTAACCCGAACTAACCTGAATGAAATCAATAAAAAAAAAAAAAAAATTATTGAATTTTATTACTCGGATGTGTGTCCCTGGTCAAGGTAACTAAAAAAAAAAAAAATCATTCGCTACGTAAATAATAATAATAATAATAATAAAATTATTTAATATTGTAAAAACGTAACCGGAAATTAATCCGAAATCATTTTTTAAAAATGGCGTGTGACGAAACGTTAAAAAATAGAAATTTTTTCTAGAGAATTAAAAAACAAAACAAACGGCAGCCATTTTTTTTTTTTAATCGTCACATTATTATTATTATTATTTACGTTTTGTTTTTCTAAGTGCATTTTTTTTTTTTATTACAAATAAACAAACTTGAAACGATTCGTAATTTTTTTAAATTGTTTGTTTGTTTGTTTATTTTGTAACTGTGATAAAAATTAAAAAAATTTAACGTTTGTTGGTTGTTGTTGTTGTTGGTTGTTTTTAAATCCTTTAACGAACTAAAACCGATATAACTCGTGACGTAATAATAATAATAAGTTTATACGTTAGTCATTTATGTACTATTAAAAATTTATTGACGGTTAAATAAAAAAAATTTTTTTTTACCAAGTTGACAATCGTTTATTTATCAATTTATCGAAAAAAAATAAATAAATAATTAATAAATAAATTAATTAATTAATTAAATGAGAAAGTTACACGCGATTTTCCGACCTGTAAAATTTTCTTTTTTTTTCTCATGTTCAAATTATACGTTTATGTCTCGTTGATTTCAAGGTTTTTAAAAATTTTATTATTATTATTATTATTATCGATAATAAAATAAGTTAAATAAGTATTTAAAAATAATTCCTTATGCGCATTTAATTGATCTCATTCATTATTAACGGGAAACCCCCTCCCTCTTCCTCCCTCCCTCTCTCTATTAATAATAAATTAATTAATTTTTTTTTTTTTGTATGTGTATTTATCAACCGTGAAATATTAATAAGAACCTAATAATAATAATAATAATAATAATAATAAACCGTTTAAAAGTTAATTTTAAATAAATGTATAATAAACTAATTAAAAATGTTTAAAAACGTTATAATTAATTCGTGAAAGTTTACAAAAAAAAAAAAAAGAAAACCTTCAAAAATATCCTTTCTAACGTTATATTTTTAGTTAGTTCCTCTATATTTATTTAAATGATGGAAATAATAATTAAAATTTTTTTTTTTTTTTGCCTTTTACTCCTTAAATAGTTTTTAAAATATTTATTTTTTCTTTAACGACATGTTTGTTTTGTCGATGTGAAAAGAAAATGATTGTTAAATCAATAAAACAAAATGGTTATTTGGTTTGAAACTGCATGTTTTATTTTATAATAATTATTGATAGAATGTAAGAGTTTGGGTATTTTTATATCAATACTACCAACGCAATTGTTCATCTGGTACAATAACCCTGACATCAGCTGATTGATTCAATAACAGATGCTACTACTTCTAGTAGTGTCAAAATCAACTAATTAAGCAAACTACATATGTATGCCTATAAGTACAACAGCATATTATAGCATAGAACACCAAACTACAACATACTACTGCATAGAACACCCAACTACAGCATAGAACAGCATACAATAGCATACAACAACATAGAACAGCACAGAACAGCATGCAATAGCACAGAACAGCATAGAACAGCTCAGAACAGCACGGAACAGCATACTACAGCATACAATAGCATACAACAGCTTATTACAGCATAGAACAGCATACAACAGCATACAACAGCCTGTTTCTCACCACTATTCATATCCATGAGAATATTTAGATGAAGAGAATATCAATGTTTTCAATAGATGAATTGTTTATCACTTGGTTTATTTGGTTAACTGGTTGTTGTAAAGAAATCAATGGAGTATGAATAAAGATTGATTATTTTTTATATAATGTATATAAAAATTAAAGTGTCATTAGAAATAAGGATTAGAACATGATACCTTTGTATTCTATTATTTAATCTTTAAAATCTTAAATTAATTGTTATAAATTATAATTGATATTTTAACGGTTGTAAAATT